CATAGTGAGATACTCTATTTAAAGAGACATATTGTTTGTTTCATCTTATATCTCCTACCACAGATTTTAGAGGAAACATACATACCACATTTAAGTTCATACTCTGCCTTATCTCCCACATTTTGGTTGGTATCTTGAGAAAACCAGTACACACACCAAGCCTAAGCTATAATACAAATTACTCTGGCACTTGGGTCTTCTGACCCTGAGGTACTCTGTATATGATCAGCAAAAAAGGATGTGGAATCAAGTCTTTGCTGAGATCTGGATAGGAGTCATAAGACAGGCATGTAAGGATTTGGAATGTCAGTATCCTTTCTTTTATTTGATGGAGGAACATCTACTTGTTTTCTACTGGGCTTTTTAACATACTGAAATCATGACTATAGCACCAGTGAACTTCATGCTATGAAATAAAATTTCCTGGGCACATGGCATAATCAAGAAGTATGGAAGGGAATGGTCCAAGTACTTGGTATGAGAAGTGGTTCAGAACCTCCAGTATTTCATGTTGAATTGCCTCATTATCCTCAATATATATATTTATCAGTATTATGTAGGCAATGCCAAGTGTATTTTCTGAGTCATTGACACTTTATTTTTCTGTTTTTTCCCATTTCAAAAAAATGGATAAGACATAAAAGTAGAAAATCTCTTGTATTTAACTAAGACATTTATTGTTTAGAAGTGCGCTTTACAATACTTAAAATATGCTATATTTCTGAATTTGGGATCAGAATGGATGGTCCTTGTTTCTGAAATGCAATAATGTGAATTATGTATTGGTTTATGAATCACAAAATATTTCCAGAGCTGTTGTATTTTGCTTGTCTGTTATCAGTGCCTTGTTACACAAACATTTTTCTACTTGTGTACATTTTCTTAAGCTGCTTCACTGATTCCAATTAATCCCATATCTGAGACATTCTTTCTTTTATCTTTTGTTATGTGAGAAATTTTTTTCCTCTGAAAAGATAACATATATTGAAACATTTTTTTTTCTTCTCTCTGTACCATATTTTAATGTTAGGGCTTTGGTGTAGAGTTTGGAATACAGTACGTCTTATCCTGGGTGTAAAGGAAAGTTTGCAGGGGCCTGAGCATGTACAAGGGTCTTCTTCCTACTTTTCAGATCACTTATACAGAATAATGAGAATTTTTTGTTCTAAAGAAATGTAAGAGAAGTGTGACGATCACTTACCTGTCTTCTCTCAGTAATGACTATTATATATTCTACAAATTGAGACAATATGGCTGAATGGATAAGCATAATTTAATTTTGTTCTTTTTTATATCAGATTCTTTATCAGATCATAAGCCACAGCAAGGATCGAATGAATTAATATTCTTTCTTCTTTATTTTTGCATTTTTAATTTTTATTAGTGCATGTTTTCATCACATATTTACATTTTTGTGGGTGGTTGGCATACAGACAGAACACATCTCATTTATTTTTTATTTCTTTTCCCTACCTATTTCTTTGCCCCTCCCTCCATCTTTTGAAGAAAGCAAATTAAAAGAGATAAAAGAAAGAAGGGAGATATGTCTTCTTTTGAATTAGAAGAGGATCTCTCTCTCTTAACTATTAATTTTTTTTCAATTAAGGCCTATAATAACTTGAATGTTTTAAAATTAATTTTATTGGTATATTCTAAGTATACAATATAAGGACATTCATCATTGGAAATTTCATCTTTACATAATCTATCTTGGTTCATATTTTCCCCATTTCTCTGCCCTCCCTTCAACCCCTCCATACCTCCCTATTTGTAAATACTTTGTTTCCATTATTTTATATTCTCACATTAATTTCATTCCCTTCTTTTCTTTCTGCTACCCCTCCAGGTACCCCTTCCCCTTTGCACCTTTTCTTCCTATTTCAAATTATCTATGATTATACATTTTAGTCCTTATTTGCACATTCAATTTCTCACACCAAAGAAACTATTCAGTATTTACATGTGTGTCTTAATTATTTCACTTGAGTATCTCCTCAGTGTGCATCCATTTAGCTATGTCTGTGATTTCTCTTTTTTATGGCTGAGTAGTACTCCATTTTATTTTTTGTTTTCTAATTTTCTTTATCCAGTCTCAAGTTGATGGGCAATTGGGCTGCTTCCAATTTTAGCTAATAGACATTTTGCTACTATGAACATGGGTGCATATATATCACTATGTTATGACTCTTTTAATTCTTTTGGGAAGATACCCAGCAACAGAACAGTTGGGTCAAATAGGACTACCAATCCTAGTAAACCTCATAGGATAACTTTTTATTGTAACACTGATTGTAGCTAGATGGAAAAGGCTTTAGGTATGATGTTTAAATATACCATCCAGATCCTAGAGCAGTGTTAGATGTGTTGTAAATTTCCAATACCTCAGTAAGTTCTTACATACAGGAAATACTCTATTTTCCTTAGGGCAGAGCTTCCCTTAATTTGAGGAAATTATCAGTAACAGAATGGAGGTATTGAATTCATCTTAAGGATATTTTTCAACCACAGAACAGTTTGGTAAGGAATGATATTCACTGTATTCATTGTAATTAACAAAACCGAGACAATTACTCATCTAAAATAGTAACCAAATAAATTTTACACTGACAATATACATTTTCTATACTTAGAGCATAACTTTTTAAAACCTTTTCAGCTACTTAGAAATCAGTTTGAAAACATTTCAGCAAACATTTGATTGACATATAAATTAGGCACTCTTCTATCATGAGAATAGCTTACAGAGTAACAAGCTAGAATGGAGAATAAAAACTGTAAAATTTAATGTTAAATGCAAGACAATTTTAGTAGCATAAATAAAACACTGAATGCAGGACAAATTAAACTGAAGTAAAAGTTATGGGTCATGATTACATTAGGATTGATTACAGGAAGATAAAATTAAACACAATTTTGAATAAATAGGAATTTGTTAATTAGATACTATGGAAAACTACATGCTACTCAGGGAAAAACATGAAAAAGGTCCCAATATGTGCAGTAGTTTAGTGTGCTGATGAAATATCAGTTTACTGTTGTAGCATAGAATTTTGAGATGTTGGAGAGACTAATAAGGTATCTTACTAAAAGAGTTAAAGGCATCATATTAAATGCACGACATTTATGGGAGCAAAAATCACAATAGCTAGATCTTTTTGTTTGTTTGTTTTTTTGTTTGGTTTTTTTTTTGAGATAGGGTCTCACTATGTAGTTGAGACTCATCTACTCTCCCAGCTAATAGCTAGATCATGAAAGTGACTCATATGTCCATCAACAGATGAATGGTATTGATAAAGGAAGATAAAGAAAATGGAGTGTTTTTACATGATGTCATACCACTCTGCCATAAAAGAATCATTTGTGTCATTTGTAGAAAAATGGATGCACTTTCAAACCATAATATTAAGTGAAATAAATGAGACACATAAGCTTAAATATCACATGATTTCCTTTATATAAGAAACTCAAAATATAAATAAAGAGCAAAACAAAACAGTTAAAAGAAGTAGGGAGATAGATTGTTTTTGCAAATTGGAAGGGACCAAGAGATGGTGGAAGGGGAAGATGCTAAAAAAATTATGATGTGTTATGTACGTGTACCAATTCCCATCAAGAAATGTGATCATTATGAACTGTAAACATGTATTAATAAAATTCAAACAACTGAAAAAATTACTCCATCCATCCTTATATTTCACTGTCCTTTCATCATTGTATTGAGTATCATGATAGGAAACTTATACTTGTCCTCAGATCTAAAGGAGACTTTCTTTAGTTCTGTCAACACTGGCTACTATGTCACTTTTGGATTAAAAAGAATAAAGATGGAAGAAAAGAATACCAATTATGAGTCACCCAAAGCTTAATCCTGAATTACAAAATATATCCATTACTAAACTGCAAAACAAAATACCTAGTATATCACTGTAGAGTACCATATGGATTATATCATACTACTTTATTGTAGTATAGCTAGATAATATATACACTCCTTTTACACCAAATCTGACTCTAAATAGCATATACTAAACTCCATATACTCTATACACTATATGAATGATGTCCAGAGTATCATATCTATTCCATTTCTATAAAACATATTTTGTATTCAATTTTCTATGTAATATGTCATATTATAAAGCAACATACATTAAAGGGTATATTCTGCAGTATAAATTTACACACACACACACACACACACACATATATGTGTGTCATGCATGCAGAAAGGTATGTCTGGAAACCTCTTTTCCACAATAAAATAAACAAAGATCTTTCATTTGTAGATTTTAAAATATATTCCTTGTATTTAATTATGGATAATTTTCCAATGAATATGCATTATTTTTATACCAAGTAATTTCTTAAATATAAAGTCCAGTATACAAATCTAGTTAGAGTTTGAGGATCCTAAGGTCCGACCACTGTATGTGGAGGATGTATATACAATTTCACAGGCATTTTGGAGGGAAAAATAGCAATGTGTGAGGTGCTATGAAATTTGGGCAATAGAAGACTAAGAGTTTGGGTCAATTTCCAAGGTTTCTTCTTTGGAAGAACAGATTATAATGAGGTGGTGTTCAAGGCAGATGGAATGGCAGATGGGGATGAAGAACAAATTTGAGGGATCAGGAAACATATCCAATTAAGTATGTAGCCTTTAAGGTCAAAGGAAAGCTTCAAATTAGAAATTAGAAAGTTTGAAATTTAAGGAACCATGAAAATATATTAATTTGCATGATTTTCATTAATGATACTATAATATTCATTCTGTTATTGTATATAGTCTATTGTTTTAATTGTATTAAGTATAGTAATTTTAAGAGGTTATGGACTAAATTATGTACCCCTACAATTTATATCTGAAGCCTCACCCTGCATGTGAATCTGTTTGGATTCATAGAGGGCCTCTATGAATGTATTGAAGGTAAAATGAGGTCACAAAGGTGGCCTCTACTTAGATAGGGCTGGTGTCTGTATAGCAAGAGAAACAAAGAGGCACAAGAGATTTCTTGTTCTACACAAACACACAGAGAAAAGATGATGTGAATTTGCAGTGAGAAGATAGACAATGGTAAACCAGAAAAACAGTCCTCATCAGAAGCCAACCAATGTAGCACCTTGGCCTGGACCTTCCAGCCTTTCTACCCTCCAGAAGAGTAAGGAATCACTTTTCTGTTGTCTAAACTCCTTCATCTATGGTATTCTGTAATGGAAGACAGAGCTAACACACTAGGATATGTGTAAGAAATGATATTCTATACCTAGTCCCCTAGATACACCATGAATCTTTTCTATACACAGGCTTAAATCTTCACTTATTTTCCCAAAGCAGAGACTGAAGCAGAGTGATTATCTAATATGGTCAGCAGTGAGGAGTAGCGTGAGAATCCTAATCTAAACAGTATGATGCCATCATTGACCAGAATTATTTCTTTAGCCAACCAAGTAGGGTGATCAAAATTGGAAGGGAGGGCAGTTTGGAAATTGCCTTTAGAACACACAGAGCTTCTGTATGGTTAAATTTACTTACATAAAAAAAATAACTACGCACTTCAAATTTTAATTAATTCATATATAAGTAATAAGCATATAAATAAAGGCTATAATGTTCCTTGACACAAAACAAGATCGGATAAAAATAAGTGCTCAATGGGACACCATAGTATGAAAAAGATAATCAGAAAGAAAATAATGAGATGAAAACTCAGTTGATACGTGGGCTGCATCTAATTCAATAGATATGCAAGGAATGGAAAGATAGGAATAGATAAAGAAAGGAACTATAGAACTGTAAGAAGTGATAACCTTTCCAGGTAGAAAAAGGAAAAATTTTTGTTCCTTTGACTACCAAACAAATTAGGCAGACACACAAGTATATATTGGTGAATTTCTTCTAGTTTTGGCTTTGAACAGACTTACATGACTTTAATCCCATTCTGATTCAATTTTGCTGCTGCCAGAAGATGAGGCAAGACAAGAATAAATTATATTGGATGAATCTAAGTTATCAGTGTGACATGGAAGATCTCTGTAACAACTCTGGCTTTATGACATCAGACAGTAAGAGAAGAACTGTACTGGGCTATTTATGTAGATATTGTGTTTCTCTACTGTCCTTTTTTGTATTGCAAGTACAGTAGTTTTCACTTCTCCAAACTGGGAATAGTTCCAGAAGAATTCATCTGGATAACATTTGCCCATTACCCTCCCTAGAAAAGAATTAGTCAGCAAAAGCCCTATTCATAAAAATAAACTCCATCCATTTCTACTTGAATGTCACATCACGTCTTTATGTGGAAAAAGTGTGGAGTGAGTCATTTTTTTACTCGACATAAAGAATGCTTTTCTATGATTAATGGATTCCCCCTCCCTCTCCAATATGTAAGTAGACACCTTCTGATTATATACCTGAGGGAGCTCAAAGGCTGCAGACATGGGAAAAGGGATCAGATGGGATATTCCTGTACTGAACTGAATCCTTTCTGAAAATGGGTAATGAGGAAGGTACAGATTTCAAGATAAATGCATGCTTTTTAAGCCATTGACAAAAAAGAGGATATTTTGAACATTAAGGCAAAAATTTGTATTTCTGAATCAGGTGAAGGTTTTAAGAACCAAAACATTTTATTAAGAATCTGTAGGTTGCAGGTCCCAGGCTATCAGTCTGGTGTTTTCCTTCAGAGGATCTTAATACCCAGAAGTAAAGAGTTAATCTTAACAGAATAATATAGTTTTAATCAGCCCATAAGGTTGATAAATTGAGTTGATTGGAACCACATCATTAGACAGTGGATTTTGGCAGATTTTTTAATAGTCACCAAGGGTGCCAGAGATTTATGGCCTATGCAGTTTATTATTTTCTTTTGGTTCAATGATCATTTTAATGTCTTGTAATATACAGTATACCTTGTGTACTGTGGAATTTGCTCAATGACAAAAGATTTTAACATACTACAAGTCCAGATCATTATATTTCATCTAAAGTACACAGTAATTCATTATTCATTTTTTCAAGCTCTTTAGGAAAAAGAGGTATTTTATTGGAGATATTAAATGCAGTTCCAGTTGTTCTTCTAAGGCCATGTATAAAGGAAGCTCATCATAAAGTCATATCACTGATTAGAAGATTGCATCACCTTTAGAAAAAATAGAATTGACAAAGACAACAACAGCAACAAAGCAAAACACTTTACAAGATTAACATCTTAGGCTGTTCGTGTTGTCATTAGTGCCATGCTTGGTATTGATACATAGCTGATTCTTTCGACAATTTTGCATAACTTCAAAAAATACAGATATTTATATACCAGAAAGAGGCAGATAAATTTTGCTTGTGCATTCATCTGTTTATTATTTATTCCATCAAGTAGTCTGTGTTTTTGTATATATATCCACTCATATAATATATATATAATTATATTTCTGTGATTAAAATTCCACTCTGCCACTGTAATCATGTGCAATCATGATATACATATAGTGAGTAAAAAAGTGGGCTATCTCTGTAAGGTACCTGTAAATACCTATTGGTTGACTACTTGAATGGAAATAGGGTTTCTAAAGGTAATGGACACAATAAAAATACATAAATCTATAAAAATCCATCTATCATACCAGTATGTAGATCTTATATAAAAGATAGATTCCAGAATTAAATGAGATCTCAAGTGTGAAAGTGCCTGGATAAAAATATAAAATAAGAACCACGTCACTATTTTTTTTTTTGTATGGGGGCTCAAACTCAGGTCCGTGTGCTCACCAGGCAGACAGAAGCACCACTGAGCTAAACTCGCAACCCAATGTCACTTTCTATGTGCCAAACACCTTAATGATCACTGTTTGCATGATGTAGTTTATCCTCACAATAGTTGCATGAGGCAGGCCTTGTTTCCCAATTTTAGATTAAAAGATTGAGGGTTTAAAAGGTTAAATAACTTGTGTAAGATAACATAATTATCAGCATAACATCCAAGATTCAATTCTAGGTGTGCTGACACCAGGACAGAAATATTTAGAGTTGCATTATTTTTCTTCAAGAGTGACAAAAACACCATCAAATTTCAAATGCACTTTTTCCTATTTGTGGTGTCCTGTTGATGCTCAAAAGGTTTCAGATTTTGGAGCACTTTGTATATTGGATTTTTTAATTTGGTTCACTGAACCTGTATTATATATAGTCTTTAAGGTTCTTTCTAGGCTCTAAAACCTCCCATGGCCTAATGACATGGTCTTTTACTCTAGCGTCTCAAAGAATGAACGGAAAGTTTCTCTCCCAATGCCTCACAGAATAATGAGTACTTTCTTTTTCTGCATGAGAGATAAGTAAGGAATTTACTGCTACAATTACTTTCATAGAATTTAAGGCATTTGCACAAATACATATGATTTAACAAAAACAAACAAAAATCTAACTTTCTGTCAATCTCTATTTAACAAAGGAACTGGCATTTTTATTTCAAAATGTCTTGTGAAGATGGCTCATTGGCTACATAAATATAGATGCACATATCTGAAATTCAAATGTCTGATTTCAAATAACTAGTCATAGGCCAAAAATGTTGGCAAGATCACTCACAGATGTTTCACAGAAATGGAAAGAGAGGTCAACATACTGTAAATACATGTAGTCGCTTGATGCTTCTCTGGTCAATTTCCTCCTCAGCAGAATACATTTAGTGTAATAAATGTTTCATCTGGGAAGCTTTCCAGATTCATCATTAGAATAAAAAAATAGGCACAGTTTTTCTTAGTGGATCTATTTTCCATCACAGCATCAGTCACAACTCAGGGGCATGCTGAAATGTGTTGGGTGAGTATAAAAGGGTCAGAAGAGAAATGAGAATGTAAAAGAAAGAGAAATAAAAACTAAGAGAGAGGCCTGTATTTTACAGAGAAAATTCTTCATTTGTGGAATAAATTTGAGCTCTGTGCCTCCTTTTCATCAAACAGGTTATGACACAATATAAAAGGAGTAATTTTTTTCTTGTAATACCTTTTTGGGGGGCACAAACCAAAGTGATCTTCCTTTTCTAAATTTCTATGATATTTGTCAACTTTTCTGTATTGTTTTGTTAGTTACTTTTTTTCAGCTTTAATTGTGTTTATTGGTACATTTTAGGGATACAGTACAGTTACATACATTGTTGGGATCTTGTACCTCTACACGACGTCTTACTTTTTATCAGACTCTAAAGTCATTCAAACCAGGAAATGTTTTATACTCTTTAGATTTCTCATTGTCTTAGTCTGGTCAGAAAGTTAAACAAAATACCACAGATGAGGTGGCTAAAGTATTAGAGATTTTTCTCACAGTTCTGGAGACTAGAAATCCATGACCAGACACCACTGTGGTAGATTCTAAGAGCTCCCTCCCTGCTTGTGAATGGCTGACCTTCTCACCCTGCACTTACACAATCTTCTTTATGTGCACTTGAGAGGTAAAAATCTTGCTGGTAAAAATCTTCTTAAGAGTGCACTAAAGCCTAAGTGTCCCAGTATGTCCTTTTATAAACATTTTTATACCTTTTGTGCATTTATGTATGCCTAGTTGTTATGTGTGCCTAGTTATGTCTAACTGTATGAAACAAATTCTCTTAAAATGGAAAAACAACTTTAAATAATCACAGGTTAAGTCAGAAAAATAAAAATTGTTCTTGGGCCAGGGACTTAGCTCAGTGCCACCACACCTGCCTTGCAAGTGCAAGATCCTGAGTTTGATCCGCACTACCACACACACAAAAAAATTATCTTCAGTATTTCGAGTAGAAATGTACTTGATTCAGGGACATACCCTAAGAAGAGTTGAAAGAGCAATATCAAAGGAAAACCCATCCATCAGCTTTTAGCTCCTAATGCAAACAATCAGGAAGTTGCAATTTTCCTCAAAAAAATCAAGAAGTGTAGGAAATTAACCAAGGTCACAGTCACCTCTACCCCCAACACCAAGATGAAGATGGGTAAGAGGATAGCAGGATAGTGTTTGGTGAGGCCATGGCATGACTCTCAGTCTAAGTCCAGGGCAAGGCTAACCATAAGAAGAAGGAATGGCTTCTCCAAATCTTTTTTTTTTTTAAGAATTCCTTTCTCTCCCTCCCCACCTCCCTCTCTTCCCCTTTCTTTCTTTCTTTCTTCTCTTTATTTTTTTCTTTCTTTCCTT